GTCCAATACAGTTATGATAACCGGTACCATACCAGCATCCACAACTCTCGTTCTAATAGCCTCAGAGCCACGTACACCAACGTTCGCAACACACTGAAATGCCATAGACCATTTCCAACCACTTCTTTTATCATTAACTTTAGTAGTTTTCAATATACGAACCAAGCGTTCTAGTCCGCCGTCCATCGTAAGAATCTCTCGGATGCGTGGGGAAGTACTCGTTAAATAGGTAAGATGTGTAAGGGAATTGATTAGAGGTAAGATGGCCGTGCAGTCGAGAGCTCTACGGTCATATAGAGCAGATGTAATACAAACAGAAGCACGGTTTTGTGAAGGAAAAGAAAAGTTTGATTCTCTCATGGTTGATCGTCAAATAAAAACTTGAATAATTCAGGTAAAGTTTGGTTATATGATTAGAAAAGTCTTGGTGTGTTTCGAGTTGAGGAACTAGGGTTTTTATAAGTTGGGACAGTGGAAGTATTAGACTTACTACTACAGCTTCCTAAAACCAAGCTGTTGATAAAATAAAATAAAAAATTATATAGTTTTAGTTATATTTTATCGTATTAACTAATAACCAATGTTACCGGGATGAAGCACGTTTTGGTTTTTTTTGAGACAGTAGTTCACCAAGATCTATTCTTTGACAGAAAATATGCCCTCTAGGCGAGAGCGTCAATGAAACTTAAGGTGATGAGCTTTAGAAATGGAAAAGCTTTCGAGAGTTTAAAGGGGGAATATAGTCTTTGTTTGCTAATATATGTCTGCGCCTGCTCAATATGGTTACACGTACTTCATGGGTAGATTAGTGGCGCAGCAGATCGACGGTCGGAATTAGGGGACGGGCAGATATGGGATCTTTGCTAGGAAAATCGCCCTTCGAGATTTTCCGATCGGGCTAACGCGGAAAAACTTAGACCGTAATACCGATTCTTATCACATGTAATCATCCTATACTTTATTGATTCAATAGTTTTTTAATTAAACTATCGAATCAATAAAATAAAAGACTTAAACATGTGAATAAGAACCGGTAATCCGGTCTAAATTTTTCCGAATTAGTCCGATCGGAAAATCTCGAAGAGCGATTTTTCTAGCAAAGCTCCCATATTAGTAAAATCGCATTTCCGACACTTTTACTTAGCGCATCAAGACCGCCATTTTTTCGTGTTTTTGTCTTTGTCGGTTCGTTCGGAATAATCCGGTACACATATCGGGTCATTTCGTAAGGTGCCAGGCTTCCCGGAATTAGTATATCGATAAAAATTACGCACTATATAGGTTATTATTAATTCCTACTAGCATTAAGACAAAATAGCAGTAGCCAGGCAAAACTTATCCCTTTTTTTTTGGAATTCATCAGAGCTATACAAAATTAATGCCGATCTCATGCGATCGAATATTTTCGCGTGACTATATATCATGTGATAATGTGCCTCGTCTTTAGCTTTATTCATGTATGTACGTACGTACGTACGTACATACATACATAACTTCGAAGTTCCATTAATGTATTGTGGACAAACTAACCTTTTAGGCCTTCCGGACTGTCGTGTTAAAACACTATAATTACGGTACCTTAGCCTTTTTATGTTTAATTTACGCTGATCTACCCAAATCTTTTATTGTTATTCTGGTAGCACTGCTTATAGGGGTAGAGGCGAACCACCAAATAATGATTAAAATTATCTAACAAATACGGTACCCTTAATTCAACATTATTAACTGGTTAATAAATTAAAAATCTCAAATTATAACGATGATTTTTGAAATAATTATGCATATTAGATTTTAAAAACTTAAGCAGTAACGGAATTTAATATAACAAGTATTGGTCTTCTCATTTATTATAACTCAACAATATTAGGCCATACAAACTTAATAAATTGGTTCTCACAACATAAAATTTTTAAAAGTGACCAGTCAACCCAGTTTTTAATTTTATCTTCAAAAAATTATATATATAAAAAACAAAATTTTTTATAGATTTTTTAGAACTCACCAGGATAGTAAAAAATTTTTTTAAAGCTTGTAAAATTTAACCCGGGATACAACAAGCCATATCACTAAAACTACATCCAATAATCCTTGGCGACTTCAATGCAAACACAAGAACCAATTTTTAAGTTTGTATAGCCTTAATATAACAAATAAAAAAAATTTTAAACTTTTAAGAAAATATATATTTATACGATATCATATGATTTGTAACGTGATTACTAGGGTTCCACATGGGTTTGTTTTTCCGTGGAGCATCCATGGATTGGTACTGCATGAGCCGGTCTTGGTCTTAAAATTTTGGATCCAGATCCAAAAGCCCATGGGTTAGTGATGCAGTAGAATCCAATGAATTTTTGAGATACGACAAATTATGGTTACACTTTAATAAAAGTTACATGAATTGTCGTAACCGTAACTTTTCATTTCAGAAAATCCATTGGGACGATTCGAGCTTGTTTTAATAAACAATTTGGATCCATGGGTCGTACCATGCGGTTATGGGCTGGGCTTGGACCTATCCAATCAAATATGGGCTTGATCTGGACTTCGAAATATCCAACCCTAGTGATTACAGTCAAATATTATTTCGATAATTTAAAATATTTCGAATTGCACTCTGATTGGCCGATTTTTTATTCTAATTAGTCAGGCTAAAACTTTAAAATCACATGTTCCTGATTTCTGCATTCTGATTGGTTCATTTGTGGTCAAAAAATTTTTGACGTACACCCTACCAGGTGCATTAGAGTTACTTATGCAGTTGGAGTTACTCTTCTGATACAGTTAGGATTAGTGGTTTGTATAGATCAGTGTTGTTCACTGGAAGACTGGAACCTCATTGGACACCCGGATTCTTCCAGAGTTCCAGTGGTTCCAGTGAGAAGAACGTTTTCTCACTGGAACGTATTCGTTTGATTGACTAATTTAAATGTGACCATTCACCAATCAAATTAATTAAATATGAATAACCCACGCCTCATGTAATATTATAAACCCAGCAATAAATGACAGCGTTTTATAGGTAGGAATGGAGCCTACGTATTAGTGTATTAATTCTAAAGTTTAATAAGAGAACGGCAGAGTAAGTATAATAACTAGTATAAGTAGTTGAGGCCTAAACTATCGACCAAGTCGATGTTATAAAAATCGGCCTAGCAGGCTTAATCGACTAAGTAATAAAACATCAACCAAATCGATCAAAGAAATTCAAGATGCAAGTAAATGATTTCCGTCTGTTTACTTCAAAACTATTAAGATTAAAAATCCACTTAAGTAGATACTGAATTCACGGAACTCCGAAATCTACCTTAAACATATATTTTTTATTCGGAGTTCTATAAAGTAAATACGAATAGTGAATAAATTTAGAACATAGTTGACTCTATTTTTATTACCGTAAATTCTCGAAATAGCGGGTATCTGCATGCTATTTTGAATACCTGCATGCTATTTCAAATATGTCCATAGGCGTTGTTTCGAATATATCCTGAATAGGGTTGTTAAGTAGTTCACAAAAGACCGGTTCGGGCGGGTCTAGGATCGAACTTTTTAGGGCCGGTCTGAAACTAGTCCAGATAAAAGTAAGTCATAAATACTTTTGGCATTCCACTTTCAAAATTATCTATAATGTATATGAGTGTCGCTAAAAGAAAACCCGAAATTTTAAATATGACTTATATTTAAATTTTCGGGTTTTCTTTTAGTGACACTCATATTTTACTGCTGGGTTATACCTGAACTCTTAAGAACCGCACCTGAATTGGACTAACCGAACTCTTTAACTTCTTTATTTTTGAATTTAGTTTTTTTTTCAAAATATATAATAGCAAGACGCGCTATAGCATTATCCTTTAAATTGTAATATAGGCAAATTTGCTTGCATTTATTTTTTTAAACTCTAATTTTTTAATAAATCTTAAATATTAATTTTAGCAATATACTTTCTAAGTAAAATATATTTTTAAAGATCTACTTTATTAACTTTGTT